CATTTATACTATATGCGCCAAAACAATGAATGTTCAACGCGTCAATGTAAAAATTAAAACATAATCTTAAGCCCCCATTCTGTGCTGAGTATCTGATGTGTTAGTTCATTATGAATTTCTTCATTAATAAATCGTAAAGAAGTTTATGATCCCTCCACCAGGCGTAAAAAAATGAACTATTGTATTTATGTAAGTCACTAAAAAGACACATCAGGTATTTCACCAAACGCCGGAGAACCGCGAGTGCTGAAAGCAGTGGCGTGGAGTACTCTGCGATACATCGATTGATCTACCATTTAAACCTATGGGAAAGGATCGATTAATAGGGTGTTCGCAGCGAACACCTTAGTTGTTGATTTTTTACCATAGCTTAATCAACTGAGAAAATATCGATCATTCACGCCTCGCCACTGGTTGAAAGTTTATGGCCGCGTGGCAAGACATCAAAATGCGATGTACATTTATTGAATCTTTAAAAAGCTGTCTTAAAGATACAGTTCTGATAATCGGCCCGCGCGATACATGCGATGGGTACATCAATTTAAAAACTGAATTTCTAATGCTTCCCCCCCCCCTTTTTTTATGAACACACATATTTGATAAATCCATGATTTTCTTCAAAGTTTCAGAGTCGTCAAGTCCTGTGGAAGATTCGCAATGCGTTGGAGGAAATTTGGCGGAGTAAGGATGTTCATACAGCGCACAAGGGATCGGGGCAATAGGTGAGGTCGGGCAAAATTTGGAAACTTTAAACGCTTATAATCACCCCTTGAGATTCAAAATGTGACGAAATAAACATCAAAATTTGCAGTTTTAGTCAAAAATTGTACGTCCGACCTCTCGAATTGACTCGATCAACTTTGCGGCGTCTGACGTTAGCACAGCAAATACGAAGATTAAGGGAACGCACGCAAGACAACTTAGTATCTCAAGTCCAAGATCCATGAGATAACTATTCGTACTCCTAGGATGTGCGGGTTCCGGCTCGATTCAATTGAAGGCGTTTTCAACGGATCGAGCCGCTTCTAGCACCGAAGCGTCCGCCTCGGTGCCGCCTGGCGGTAGTTGGTTGCGTCAAATCGCGGAATTTAGTTACTTTAGTACTTTTGCAGGAGATTCCACCCAAAATTGAAGAAACCGACAATATAGAGAGAGTTTAAGATTCGGAACCTGGATTCAAGTGACTATTTCTCCAGTGCAAATTTGAAGTATTCGAAATGCGTATGCCTCTAACCAATAATGCGACGGTGTAAGTCGGCAATCACATAACTCGGTTTGAAACGTCGCAGACTCCCTGTCATACTTTATTTTTAAAACGGAAAGCTACTCAACGGCAATTTTTTAAAACTGCCGTGATTTTTCTTCTGTATGCGGAGAAAATTCTTCATTCACTTCAAGGATTGATGTCAATTTGTTCTCTTTTAAAAAAATAACATAGATTCGGAGATTTTCAGACACCGCAAGCGAGATATATGATTGCAGACTTACGCCGTCAATACTTTCCTTACAAAACACTGTGTGTAGGTACGGCCTTACTTTTTAAGTCCGCACCGAAAAAACGTGAGAAATTGATTTAACATTCTGGATGTAAAAAAAGTGTGCGAGAACTTATAAAATGCTGAATTTCCGTCTACAGCAGTTACTTAGCAATGCTAAGAAGTAAAACTAACTGCTGTAGTGGGCAATTCAGCATTTTATGTTCTTACACACTTTTTTTACATCTAGAATGTTAAATCAACTTCACTTTTTTTTCGGTGCATTGAATCATAGCAAGCTTTAGGTCTAAAAAAAACAAAGTCGGCCAGGCTAGGGTCAATGGAAGCAACATGGAGCAAAAACGTCGAGTGAGGAAAATAACAACTTCGCATTTAAGTAAATACATGATTTCTTTTTGGATCCAAATCAATTGGATCTCTTGACACGGATAGACTTGCAAACACTTCGTATTCGAACTACTCGGACGCAAACATTTAAAGCGCACCCGGGATTATCTGCCCGTGCTCTAAACACCTGAGTGTCAAAGTGGTTCCCCTCTGAAAGCGCCAAGACAATATTTTTTTCCATTAGCGCAATCTCCGGTGAATCCACTCTAGGGCGAGGGATTTTGCATACAGCCACTTGGACGTACTTCTGCCGAACGGAACTAAGTGCATTATGACAGGAGCCCTGTTATGCATGTATTCTTACGGGTCTCAGGGCTCATGTCTTGATGCACTTAGTTCCGTTTGGCAGAGATACGTCCACTTGTCCCGGAAATGCATTTGATGGACGGATGAAATCAGGCTTCGAGGGGCCTCGCGGCGCGGGTGCCAAACGAATGGAAAAATCCTCGAAATGGAAACTTTTCACAAAAAGAAATTACTATTTCCGACTCATCGAAGCAATGGACCTGTGGCACACTGGTAAAAAAAACCTCTTGGACCAATACCGCGGTGCATTGACTTAAGAGTGCAGTTTCTTGTCGCCGGATTTAAGAGTCTTGAACTCTTGTTTCAAGCGGATTTTGCATTGATTCAATTCAAAATCCGCTTGAAACAAGAGTCCAGACTCTTAAATCCGGCGACAAGAAACTGCACTCTTGAACCAAGAGGTTTTTTTTACCAGGGCAAACTTCAGCTAGAGCAAAGAGCAGATTTAGTTCTTGTAGAAAATGGCATAAAAATCACGATGAGCGCATCGGAAAAGTTTCGTAAACACTCTTAATTTCAGAATCTGGAAGGAAAAGCAGGACATAAAGAGGGAGAAAAGGGACAAATAGGTTTGGTTAGTTAGTAAAACATAGGTTTCTTATAAGAAGTGACTTAACATCGTAGCCATTTACACCTCCGATAAAAATTTGCATGAGGGTGCTTACAGAAACAGGCTGTATACGTACATAAAAAAAATGAGAAGAAGAGGAAGCAGAGGACAATCAGGAAGAGAAAAGAGGAAAGAAAAAAGGGGAAGAAAAATAGGAGGAAGAGGATGAGGAAGAGGAAAATGTAAAAGAGACGAGAAAGAATAAGAAGGATTAGAGAGAGGAGGAAGATAAAGAGAGCAGGAAAATAGAAAAAAGGGAGAAAAGAGAGAGAAAGAATAAAGTGAGAAAAAAAGAAAATAAGGAGAAAAGGAGGAAAAAAAACAACAAAAAGGGAGAAAGGGCAAAGGAACAAATTGGAGGAATTATAAAAAATCTTAAAAGAGGAAGGAAGAAAAGCACGAAGATGAAGAAGGAAGGTTAGAAAAGGAAAATGGTAAAGAAAAGGGAGAATAGGAAGGGGCGACCATTTGTACGTTGTCTCTGAATTTAGCTTGAAATATTATTTCTCAACCGCAGAATGTTGTCCAGTTATTCCTCCCAAAAGTAGTGAATAGAATGGCGAGAGATCTGGCATCATCCTCGATACTTTCTGTATCACTTCGAAATGCGTGTATCGGGAGATTATGCAAAAGCTATGCACGGCGTAAGCTCCCGCCAAGTTGGAGGGAATATCGCAGATTTCCATGTGCCATGGAGGGAGACCATCGAATTTATCACTCTACTTTGCAAACTAGTATTTCGCATCAAGATTCGCCCGCAACCGTCAGTTCCATCCGATTCATGTTCAAGGTTGTTTGCGGTGTCGTTACTAAATATTTTCCATCCATAAGAAAAAAAAAAACCGTGTGAATGGGGATTGATAATGCATCAAAAAAATCAGTTCGAATGCCCAAAAGCCTCTACTTAATTAGAAAATCATTGATGGCTCATCCTAATGAAAAAAGCGAGAGAAGAGCTTCAATTGGACGTATTTCTGCCAAACGGAACTATGTGCAGTATGACTTGAGCCCTGTTGTGCATGTATTTTTATGGGTCTCAGAGCTCATGTCTTAATATGCATAGTTCCGTTTGGCAGAAATAAGTTCAATTTCAATTGCTTTTCCCCTTAAAAAGGGAGAGAAAAATGAATGGCTCTACTTACCGCAGCAAAGCACAGCATGGTTTCTTTCATCTTGAAATCATACATTTGTACTACACACATTTGGACTGGTTTCTGGACGGATAAATTATACTCAAGGCTCATGACAGCTTTTCAAAACCAAAACAAAGACCACCAAAGAAATTTGGTTGAAAAAGAGGCTGCAATGCTTTGATTACTCGTCTAGCGGATCCAACTGGATCCAAAGCGCATCCTCAGTTGCATTTCTGACATTTCGAATCTGATGCTACATTCAAAGAACACATCTCTTGAGGGAAAAATATTCTCTGATTATTCAATACATCAACGAACGTTCGCCGCAAGCTCAACGCTGTCTGATTAATTCGTGCTTTGAAACCACCCTTTCAGTGGGCTTTTAATCAATGCTCCGTATTATATTCTTCACGCTTCGATAAGTGAATCAGTGAGTTCGAAAACACAACAACTCGGGTTTTTTTAGATTTCCACTTTTTTACGGTTTAGTAACACTTATAGATAGAAACATCTGCACGCAAAAGGAAATTTCGAAATTGCAATCGGAAGTGCTCGAAACAGCGACGGGAAAAGGGAAAAATCGAATTATTTCATTAGAAATACCACTTTTTGGCCATTTCAAGGGAAACGGGTGACCATCCGATGTTGCAGTTTTCTTTTTCCGGTTCAGTGTGTACCTTGTACCAACAAGTCATATTCATATTCAAGCGTTATTCAGGTCGAAAAATATAAATTTTTCCGGGCAGACTATGAAAAATCAGTATCTGAAAGTCGGTGAGAACGAAAACACACGAACTCGGAAATTTTTAAATGCTTAATTCTTTGTCATCAAACATGGTGTTTCGATTTCAACTTGGTGCTTTACAAAGTCTCTAAGTACTTGTCCTTTGGCACCAAGAAGGTTTTACTTAATAACCTCTTCGCCCGCTGCGCAGTTTTAGGTGTTTCCTGAACATTTTTTTCCCCCGAGTTGGTGTGTTTTCGAACTCACTGATTCAGTTGCCTGAAGGTGCTAGACACGAAGCCATAAACCCAGCAGAAGACAAACTTATGGAGAGGTGAACTTACCTATCTAATGCTATTGCTACTAAGTGGAGGATGGAGGCGGTGCAGCAGAGGACGTCGCTGGAGGTCCACATGTCGCAGAGCTCCGGGCCGAGCGTCCACTGGCGGCTCACCTCGTAGACGGCCCCGAGGGGCATGACCAAGCAGGCCACCAGGAGGTCCGCCACCGCCAGCGAGAGGATCAGGTAGTTGGCCACGTTCTGGAGGTTCCGCTCCAGCAGGATAGCCGCGATCACGAACACGTTCCCTGCAACATACATCCAGCTTCCTTAGTTATATCCTGAATATCCAGGTACTCCAAAAGTACCACCACAAAAAATTTCAAGGAAAAAGATTCATAACCTTAATAAAAAAATGAACATTTTATCGAAGGAAATTTGGCAACTCTTGAATGAGTATACGGAGTTCTTCCTCAGCACGGCAGTATAGGTATCGGTCGTACTTATTTGGTTTGTGGAACTGTACACTCATTTATAGGAACTGTCAGGCTTAGGTTATCTAAAAAGAGGGAAAGAAGTTGTTAAATTAATGTTTAAAGTGTTTCTCAACACTCTCAATTAAAACAGAGGTTCCGCTCCAGAAGGATAGCCGCGATCACTAACACGTTCCCTGCAACATACATCCAGCTTTCTTAGTTATATCCCGAATATCCAGGTACTCCAAAAGTACTACCAAAAATGAACCAAGTTTATCAGAAAGGAACCAACCCACAATTTCGAAAAGATTGAGTTAAGGTGATTCGATGGACGCCATATTTTGTGTCAGAACGGCATGCGATAAATCGCAAAAATACTAAAGTAACTCAATTCCGCTATGTGATGCAACCAACTTCCGCCAGGCGTCCGCTTCGGTGCTAGAAGCGGCTCGATCCGTTAAAAACGCCTTCAATTGAATCGAGCCGGAACCCGCACATCCTAGGAGTACGAATAGTTATCTAATGGATGTTGGACTCAAGGTGATTCGATGAACGCCATATTTTGTGTCAGAACGGCATGCGATATATCGCATCAATTGGTTCCATTTTTTTAGCTACTCGTCATTTTTTTCCAATTTTGAGATCGCAATTCTGTTGTCAGGAGACTAAAGCACTCACTTACCAGTTTTAACAAAGGAATTTAACGTAATAAAGGCGTATTTTTTTAGAGAGAAAACATCGCATTCGATACTGATATCGAAACTGCACTCGAATGCGATATATTCTTTCTAAAAAAACCACGCTTTTATTACGTTGAATTTCTTTGTTAAAATTGGTAAGTGAGTGCTTTGGTCTCCTGACAACAGGATTAGGATCTCAAAATTGGAGAAAAATGACGAGTAGCTGAAAAAATGGAACCAATTGATGCGATATATCGCGTGCCATTCTGACACAAAATATGGCGTCTATCGAATCACTTTAAGAATGTTTTTAGGTTCCTCTAGTCGTATATTTTTTCCTGCCAAAAGCTCGAAGTCAAAAAAGAAAATTAGTTTGTGAAAAGAGGGGTCAAAGTTTATTTTCTACATCGAATCTTGTAGAGGAATAAAACGTCAAAACCACTTTTTCTCAGTTTCAACTTGATGCGGGTTGGTTCTTTTCTGATAAAATCGGTCCAAATAAATCCACTATTTTTGAAAAGGCGAAGGTTCAAAAACCAACTTTTCCAGGATGAACAAAAACCTTCACTGAAAAAAACACTCCGGCCGTGGAAGCCGTACTTACGGGCTATATAGAGATACCGTCCGTGTTCCGGGCTCAGAGGCCGAAAGTTCCGGGCGTAGCACCCGGAGCAATCGAAGCTACGGCTCCAGCAGCCCGGAACTTTCGGCCTCTGAGCCCGGAACGGACGGTACGGGTATCTCTATATAGCCCGTAAGTACGGCTTCCACGGCCGGAGTGTTTTTTTCAGTGTATCAAAAGTTCCTAAAACCTAGTAGCAAAGACTGTTGAAAAGGTGTTAAGCAGTTATAACTATGTTCATTTCGGGAGACTTTTTTCGGGTTTTTTTTTCAACTAAATTTACAAGAGGTTAAATTTTGGTAAAATTTTAGTAGAATGTGTTAAGAAACCCGTATAACATTCATTGCAACAACTCCTTTCGCTCTTTGTAGATAACCTAAGCCTGACAGTTCCTATAAATGAGTGTACAGTTACACAAACCAAATAAGTACGACCGATATCCTGCCGTGCTGAGGAAGAACTCCGTTTAAACATTCAAGAGTTGCCCAATTTCCTTCGATAAAATGTTCATTTTTTTATTAAGGTTATGAATATTTTCCCTTGAAATTTTTAGGACTTTTTAGCGGAATGGTGAGAACAATTATCTGAAACATTGGGGGAAAAAATATTCATAAGTTGACCAGGAAATTTGTGTTTTATCGGAGGAAATTTGGAGACGCCTGAAGGTTCATACGGCGTTCTTTCTTAAAGCGGCAGTAAAGAACATCGTATTTACGGTTCAAACGATGACCGAGCTTCTTTCTTCAGTATATCTTTGCACATACTTTTTATAGAAATAAAAAATTGGCTCTGCTACTAACGTAAGCGGGAGGGTCTCTTTGAAAGTCCATTGGGCAGTAAAAATGAATTCCGCCGAAGCTACCAGCGCCATCAAAACGTGAGTAGCTTCTCTCCAAAGAGATGACCATTTCTTATCTCACTCCATATAAAATTCGACGCTCTCTGATCAGAGCCTTCACCCGACTATTTATTCTCTTTGCCGAGCTTTTTTGCCTTTGATTCAACCTTCATACACCCGAGCGCGTTGAGTGATTGCCCTTCCTTTGAAAATCCGATTCAAGGGTCGCATGAATTCAGGAGGGTGCCAAAAAATTCTCGCCGGACGGAGCAACCCTTATCAAGTTCTATTCTCTCTAAGTATATTGACTAGAGAATCATTCCGTCTCGTGATTTGGGCCTGACGAATTTGATAGACGGTGAATCTTGTCATTTGACTTTGCAGAAGAGTTCATCGTAATTTCTCGAGCAGAGACATAAAATAACAGAGACCGTTTAAAAATTTGAGATTCGTCCAGCGCAATACAAAAAGTTGATCAATTTCAGCGATTTTCCAATGTAATTGGTTCCTTTGCAAAACATGATCCACTTGGTCTCGAAATAGAGAATGCTTGTGGATTTTTAAGGGCGCCTACTTATAAATACCGCTAGACGATAATACATCCATGAAACATTTTTTGTTATGCACTGTGTCTTAATCCTTTCGTTTGTTTTTTCATTTATTTATTTTTTTGGGCATGATTTTTGAATTTTGTAGTCATATAGCACTCTAACATCTACATTAGGTACATTCATAAAAATATTCTTTGATTGGGCAATTAAATTTTAAAAAAATTGGCTTTATTAGCATTACATGAGTCGAAAATTGGCCTGACCATGATTGGATTGTTTGAGAGTGCACATGTAGACAAATGAAGGGAATCGTGCTTCTTCGTTTTTTTCTTTATTTAAAAAAAAAGAAAATTAATAAATTTATAATTTATACTTAATTGAAAAAATTACTTAGTATTGGCCAACTGGCGAGGGTTTATCGCTAAGTGTTGAATTCCTGCCCTCGGGTATTATGTCCCTGAAGGCTTCTCGTGAAATATAAATTGCTAAAATTTAAAAATTAACCTTGCATTGCAACGTTGTAAATCTTCACTTATGTTTTACTTATACTGAAGAGAGAGCTAAACAGTAATTCTTACAATATTCGTTGCTCAGTTAAAAATATTCATAAATAATTCCAAAAATATACTTTGGTTACAAATACTAATAAGTATTGATGAAAATAATAATATTCTGTTTCCATATTACGGATAAGATCGACTCAACATTAACTCTCGTGTCAAGTCAAATTTGGACCGCGTTAAGCAGGAATAACCAAGCCACATCAGCTACGGCCAAATTTGATGATATTGTTTAATTTTAGCGGCTCTGGTGCTTGCACTAGAGCTGCTATTCCGGACGGTC